TTCTGCTGTCGGCCCTCACCAAACCGTTTTCAGCCATAGGAGTCACAGAAACGTGGCTTAATGATACATCTCCATCTACTTTATGTAATATTGTCAATTATTCGATTGTACGTTCTGATAGAAAAACCGGAAGGGGTGGTGGAGCTGCTATGTTTATCTCAAACTTGTTAACATACAAAATTAGATCTGACCTTAGTTTGAAGAGTGATGGTACTGACTCGATATGCATTGAAATCAATATGGCTCAAAGGAAAAACATCTTGATATGTACAATATATAGGCCTCCGCATACAAATGTTGAATTATTTTTGGATGAGTTTGATAGGATGCTGCATAAGGTCAATCTAGAAAATAAGGATGTTTACTTGATGGGTGATTTTAATATTGATCTTTTGCAGGAAGATAATACTTTTCATAATATGTTATGATCAAATTCATTCAATGCCATGATTGATAAACCAACCAGATTGGCAAATAACTCTTCTACATTGATAGATAACATTTTTACAAATGTCACCAATAACTATATAGGCTCTGGCCTCTTGTATAGTGAAATCTCTGACCACCTTCCAATTTTCCTGATTTGTAATCATGTTCGCAATTATCCTGAGGACGAAAAGAATCAAGCTATGATACGTAAAATCACAGCTGAAAAAATAGCCATGTTTAATGACGAACTACTCTAAGTAACATGGAATGACGTGGTCGCATGTACTGACACCAATAAGGCATATGCACTTTTTTGGAACTTGTTCTCCTCTCTTTTAAATAAACATATCCCAATGACTAAAAAAAGATCGGCAAGAAATAGAATCAAGCAGCCATGGATAACTAAAGGTATCTTTTGCTCTATTAAAAAACGGAATAGATTATATAAATATAGTCTTCGACACCCAGGAGAGGAAAGCTTGAATAATTACAAATCACATAGGAACAAACTAACCACCATTATTAGACAGTCTCGACAAATGTATTTTGCCAAGCAGTTTGAAAATGCAAATGGAAATGCATCATCAACGTGGAATGTGATCAATCAAGCCCTCAAAAAACAAAAGAGTAAATCAAAGTGTCATATTACCAAAGATAATAATACAATGGTTGATTCAAAAGAAATAGCAAATTGCTTCAATGCTTACTTTGTTGGGGTTGGCCCCAATCAGGCCAATACAATAGCTTCGAACGGAGTCGACTTCTCACAATTTCTTCAAACTCCCTGCAACAAGTCATTATTTCTCAAACCAACAAACTTGATTGAAATCTTGAATATTGCACGTTCTCTTAAAATAAGCTATGCTAACGGTCATGATGGGATAAGCACATATCTTTTTAAACAAGTTATAGGAAATATAATAACCCCACTAGTGCATATTTTTAATCTCTCTCTGACGACAGGTACATTTCCAGAAGCATTTAAGATTGCTAAGGTTGTTCCGATATACAAAAAGGATGACTCTTCCCAAGTCTCAAACTATCGCCCTGTTTCTATTCTCTCGAGTTTGTCCAAAGTATTGGAAAGACTTATATACAATAGGCTATATTGTTTTCTAACAGAAAATGACTTACTGAATCAGGATCAATATGGTTTCAGGAAATACCACTCAACCGATTTAGCCCTTGCACAATTATATGATAAGGTTTTGAATGCTTTGGCGTCTCGAAAGCATGTTATTGGTGTATTCATGGACTTAAGCAAAGCATTTGACACTCTTGATCACAAGGTACTATCAAGCAAACTTCATTATTACGGAGTAAGAGGAGTTGCTCTTGACTGGTTTAATGATTATTTGTCAGGTAGAAAGCAATATGTAAGCTACGAATCTGTAGATTCATCATTATTGCCTATGAAATGTGGTGTCCCACAAGGATCGATACTCGGTCCTTTATTGTTTCTACTGTATGTTAATGATATCTCGAACTCAACTACATCATTACAATATATTATATTTGCTGATGATACTAATGCGTTTTGCTCCAATTTCGATTTTCGATCACTTCAGAGAATTCTGAACACCGAGCTACCTAAGCTGTCTTTGTGGTTTAGGAGCAACAAATTGTCTCTGAATCTGAAAAAAACTAATTATATTCATTTTCAAAGCAGGAAAAATGCAACTGATAAACCTATACCTGAAATAGTCTTGGATGGTGAATATTTGGAGAAAAAACAAAATACTAAATTTCTTGGAACTATCATCAATGAAAATCTGAAATGGAGTGATCATGTACATTACGTTTCAAAGAGAGTGTCACGCACTGTTGGTTTACTGTATAAGTTAAAACATTATGTGCCTTTGAATATTCTATATATGCTATACAATTCCTTGATTCTTCCTTACATGTCTTATTGCAATATACTGTGGGCAGACTCAAAAGTATATACTGATAAAATGCTACTTTTACAAAAGAAAGCGATTCGTGTGTGTACCAATGCTGGATATCGCGATCACACTGATCCCCTATTCGCGAGGTTAAAAACTCTGAAAGTAACTGATATTAACTTTTTACAAAAAGCACTGTTCATGTTCCGTCTACATAATGATTCCCTACCTTCCCACTTCCCACCAATGTTTTGTTTGAATAGAAATATTCATACATACCCAACCAGACAATCAAATAAATACCATTTATGTAATCCTAAAACAACAATGGCTATGAAATCTATAAGACATTCTGGTCCGGATATTTGGAACTCACTGTCCGTTGACATCCGTAACTTGAAGTCAGTATATACTTTCAAGAAAAGTGTGAAATCAATTTTATTGAGTAAATATTGACAAATCTCTTAAATTAACACATGATATCATATATGTTTGTCAGCATTTCCTTGATATAGCAGGAAAATCCCCCTCCCATGCACCCTCTATCCCATTTTTTTTTTTGGTTGCAAGTCACTGTTTATTTTTTGTTATTTTCCCCCAATTATGTTCTGTAATTTACTTTACTTTACAATCGTTATGATTTTAAATGTTTCTGGGCTGCAAGCGTATCAAGCTGTCACGCTTAGGCTGTAGCCCTTCTGTATCATCACCTCTTCGAGCGTATGTATCTATGATTTACTGAATGTGGAAATGTAATTTAACTTATGTTTTATACTCATGTAAAGACATTGTCACATTATTGTTATAACCTATGATGATTCAGTAACCAATAAATATTTCAACTATTTCAACAGCTAGTAAACAAAAGTCATATAAAGAGAAAATTACATGTTGATCTAGAAGTATATGTAAATTAATGAAATTGAAAATCTATTTGGCAAATTAACGTAACCTTCATATTGTAGTTATGTTCAAGATGAGCTGGGTATTACTCAGCGTCCTGTGTTTGTTTTTGTTCATAAATATTTTGGATGGATGCAATTACTCAGATGAATACGCAGTAGTTACATGTACTACGGCTATAATAGTAAAAGTTAGTCCTATAAATCTTTTTTGATGCATTTTCTGCGCCCACTACCCTGAACTAACCGATTTCTGAACTTAACCCAGCACTAAAATCTATAATATACCGTAAGACTAAACCTAAGCTCAAAGCCTATTTGCAGCTCTCATGCGGATCCTATATATATTTGTGACTTAATAAAGCCCAGAACATTTGTCAACTGAGCTTAGCCATACACATACACGATATTGGAGCACCCAGTTATATTTGCAGTCATTCAATAAATACATGTATTCTGGTAATGTACTTTAATGAATCTAGTGCTGTAAGTCAGACGCTATGTTCGTGTTCGGTTCGGTTCGGCAGAGTTCGGCAATATTTCACCCGAACTTGGTTCGGTTCGGGGTTCGGTAATATAATAGCAAGCAGCGTTATAGCCACGGCGGTCGGCACTGGGCGGGCCGCCCGGTCTGCCGGGCGAGACCAGCACGGAGGACTTCTGCATACTGCCACTGACCAGCACGAATTTCACATTAAAAAACTGCTCTAAACGTAATTATTTGTGAAGAAAAATACTACTTACATTCGTATTTCCGTCTTGAATCGTGTTTTATTTTCAATTTTAAAAGAATCATGTTTTCAATTTGTCAATAAATGATATTTTTTAAAGATTTTCCGAGACGGTTGTTGTCTAATGTTAGAGTCATGAAAGCTGCCATCTTGAATAGAGAATTCAGGCTCGTCAATAACCGTTTTTTATAAGATTTTATTTTCAATAGGAAAAATATAAAATCCCTATTTTTCCTGAATAAATAAATACCATACTGAATTGAATATTTATTTCATTATTTATATTGTAAAATTTGTCCGATATTGTTACAATTAAAATATTAATTTGAATGGGTTTGAGCTGAACTTGTTTTGATCATGCACATGCCACATGTATTCTTGTTTATGGCTTGCGATCGCGACGTAGCGTGGTCAGGATTTGGGATTTAAATGGCGCCAGTGAAGTCGCGCCCACCACTGGATAGGCATAAATCACAAAGACAGAAAATGGGGAAAAAGTAAATATAAAATGAGCAATCATGACATGAAAATTAGGTACAAAAATGACAAGTTTATTAGCTTGCAAAAACGTTAACATTTTTCTGCCGAACGTCCGAACCAGGCCTTTGTGTTCGGTTCGGTTCGGTTCGGTTCGGAAGTGCCATGTTCGGCGAACTTCCGTTCGGTTCGGCGGTTCGGCTACAGCACTAAATGAATCACTGTTTGTATCACTATGTAGTGAGAAAATGCACTATGGCTGTGTTTGTCGATCCTCCTGTTGTTTTAACGCATGCCCATCAACAATTTTTCTGTGCTTTCCATCCTGTACTAACCAAATTCTTAACTTGATCCCTGCACCAAAAAGTATTCCTATCACTAAACCTGAGCTCAAACCTATTTGTAGCCCTTATCCAAATCCTATATTTGACTATATAAAGCCCATTGCATTTGTCACCCAAGCATAGCCATACACATACATGTATATCAGAGCACCCAGTTATATTTGCAGTAATTCAATGAAAACGTGTACTCTGGTAATGTACTTGTATGAATCACTGTTTGTATACATGTAGGTCCACACTGTCGTGCTCTATGACATTAGCTGTCCAACATCAGCCTCTTCACATTACCTAGCGGATGCTTTGTGTTCCATGCCAAACCTGACTCACCTGACACTACAGGGAAAGGATTTCCAGGAGGAGTTCTATTCTACACTGAATGCAAAGGCGTCAACCTTACAGGTATGTATGTGTGTTTGTACTCTATATCCATGCCATGATGAATTCAGGTACACATGCAGCAGTGGAGATGAATTTAAGGAGTTATGATATTTTAACAACATGCTGTCAATATTTTGTCAACGTGTTAATTTTTTTATATGAAAATGTATAATAGTCTTAGCAGACAAAGGAACAGTATTATAAAAAGAAGGGTTTTCATGTGCAGTGTAAGATACAGAATTCAGATGGCTCGAGTTAAAAATATGAAGTTCTGCAAAAAACATCACTTTTAAAGGATTGCCTCAGAAAAGATATTTTGGTTTCATGCAGACTAACTTAAAGTTTTTAAGTAAGCTTTTTTTGGGGGGGGACTTGATCCCTGCACCAAAAAGTATTCCTATCACTAAACCTGAGCTCAAACCTATTTGTAGCCCTTATCCAAATCCTATATTTGACTATATAAAGCCCATTGCATTTGTCACCCAAGCATAGCCATACACATACATGTATATCAGAGCACCCAGTTATATTTGCAGTAATTCAATGAAAACGTGTACTCTGGTAATGTACTTGTATGAATCACTGTTTGTATACATGTAGGTCCACACTGTCGTGCTCTATGACATTAGCTGTCCAACATCAGCCTCTTCACATTACCTAGCGGATGCTTTGTGTTCCATGCCAAACCTGACTCACCTGACACTACAGGGAAAGGATTTCCAGGAGGAGTTCTATTCTACACTGAATGCAAAGGCGTCAACCTTACAGGTGTGTATGTGTGTTTGTACTCTATATCCATGTCATGATGAATTCATGTACACATGTAGCATTCGAGATGAATTTAAGGAGTTATGATATTTTAACAACATGCAGTCAATAATTTTTCAAGGTGTTTAATGTTTTATTTGAAAATGTATAATAGTCTTAGCAGACAAAGGAACAGTATTATAAAAAGAGGGGTTTTCATGTGCAGTGTAAGATACAGAATTCAGATGGCTCGAGTTAAAAATATGATGTTCTGCAAAAAACATCACTTTTAAAGGATTGCCTCAGAAAAGATATTTTGGTTTAATGAAGACTAACTTAAAGTTTTTAAGTAAGCTTTTTGGGGGGATGGAGAGTGTCATGTCGCTACTTATGCAGTAAAACAATTTCAGTATAAACAGATTACGGAAGTACTCTAAAGACTAGTGGATACAAATAATTTTGTTTGTAATTTTCATATTTTTAAGTTCAGAGCAATTCATATAGTGGGAATTATATCCTCATGGGTCTGAAAGTAGTATCTTAGTATACTTCAGATTCAATACATGAACCATGAGGTATGGGGTTCGAATCCCTGCCATACGTAGCACTCATGTTGTTTGGCAAGACATTAATCTACATTTGCAAAACTTGTCCTAGGTGAAGTAATATAAGTGGGTACCTGTTAGGATATATTCCTTGAATGCATCACTATGTAGTATGAAGTAAGAAAATGCACTACGTCTGTATAATTTTTCTATCCTCGTGTTGTTTAATGCGTATGCCCCATCAACAATTTTTCTGTGCTTTCCATCCTGTACTATCCAAATTCTTAACTTGATCCCTGCACCAAAAAGTATTCCTATCACTAAACCTGAGCTCAAACCTATTTGCAGCCCTTATCCAAATCCTGTATTTGACTATATAAAGCCCATTGCATTTGTCATCCAAGCATAGCCATACACATACATGTATATCAGAGCACCCAGTTATATTTGCAGTAATTCAATGAAAAGGTGTACTCTGGTAATGTACTTGTATCAATCACTGTTTGTATACATGTAGGTCCAATCTGTCGAGCTTGATGATGTTAGATGTCCAACATCAGCCTCTTCACATTACCTAGTAGATGCTTTGTGTTCCATGCCAAACCTGACTGACCTGATACTACATGGAAGGGATGTCCAGGAGGAGTTCTTTTCTACACTGAATGCAAAGGCGTCAACCTTACAGGTATGTATGTGTGTTTGTACTCTTTATCCATGCCATGATGAATTCAGGTACACATGCAGCATTGGAGATGAGTTTTAGGAGTTTTTATGCCTCAGTTACGAAGTAGCCGGAGGCATTATGTTTTCGGGTTGTCCGTCCGTCTGTCCGTCCGTATGTCTGTACACACGTCTGTACGTACGTATGTCCCGTTCTCGTGATCACGTTATCTGAAGAACCAATTGATGGATTCCTGCCAAACTTTGGTCATGTATGTATCTTACAGAGTGGATGAACTGATTAGATTTTGGGGTCACGAGGTCAAAGGTCACAGGGCTCATCATGTATGCAAAAACAGCTCGTGATCGCGTAATCTCAAGAACCGACCGATGGATTCCTGCCAAACTTAGGTCATGTATATTACTGGCAGAGCTGATGAACTGATTAGATTTTGGGGTCACGAGGTCAAAGGTCAAAGGTCACAGGGCTTATTATGTATGCAAAAACAGCTCGTGATCGCGTTATCTGAAGAACCGATTGATGGATTCCTGCCAAACTTTGGTCATGTATGTATCTTGCAGAGCCAATGAACTGATTAGATTTTGGGGTCACGAGGTCAAAGGTCAAAGGTCACAGGGCTCATTATGTATGCAAAAACAGCTCGTGATCGCGTTATCTCAAGAACCGATTGATGGATTGCTGCCAAAATTAGGTCATGTATGTTACTTGCAGAGCCAATGAACTAGAGTAGATTCTTGGTTCATAAGGTCAAATGTCATGGGCTCATTATGTATGCAAAAATAGCTTGTGAACGCATTCTCATTAGAACTGACAGATGGATTACTATTTAACTCAGGACATCTTGCAGAGCCAATGAACTGAGTAGATTTTAGGGTCATGAGGTCAAAGATCAAAGGGTCATATATGTATATAAGAAATTGCTTGTAATCACAATATTCTGAGAACCTGTTAATGAATTACAATTGAACTTGAATTCAAAAAATTTCTTGTGTTTTGGTTTGTAAAATTGCTCTATGACGGAGGCATCATTTTCGACTGCGCGCAGTCAAATTCCATCTATTTTTTTTGGGGGGGGGGGGGGAGTGTTGTGTTACTAGTTACGCAATAATACAATTTCATTATAAACAGATCACTGAAGTACTCTAAAGACTAATAGATACAAATAGTTCAAATCAATTCATAAGGTTTGAATAATGTCATCATGGGTCTGAGAGTATACGTCAGATTGAATAGTCACTAAACAAGAATGGAGATCTTGATCACAGTGTACTTATTTTAAGCACAGTTTTTGTTTTTGTCCTTGATGTTTTGGACAGGTGCATGATCAGGGAGGAGGGGTGTCAGCATAAAGTTCTGTTGAAATATTGACCAGTTCAATCAACATAGCTTTTTTTGTATGTGTGTGTATTTGGTGGGGAGGGGCGGTGTATATGAGGTGTCAGCGTAACAAGGACACTAAGTCTATATGCCAGAGAGGGTACTGACCTGGTATGTACATGTATGGTATAGTATGTCAGCCAGACTTGAATGGAGGAAAACTAGAAGAATCACTATCACCAATCATACTCATATATTTCTTTTCAGGGTTCTTTTCCTCAAATCAGTAATGGAAATTTCAAGTTCAACGGAAAGTACCAAGTAGATATCGATTCATTCCTGCAGGAGCTCACTGACAGGCGATTGTAAGTGAACTAAACATAATGAATTAAAAATAATTTTATTGCTATGCAACTCACTCCTTGATCCTCATCAAATGATAGGTCAAGCACGGTCACGTGTAATTCCTTTACTGAGAATATCACATGTTTTTCCATGAAAAACCATGCTTTATATACCTCACTTAAGAAATCCAGCCATCTGATTGGTCGAAATTGCATTCATAAACTTTAACAATTCCTGTAAAATTCTGGGTAAAATTCCAAACCCATGTAATAGTTCTAAAAAATAGTTCTAAAATCCCAATAACCATGGTTACTTTGTGTAAATGTGTACGCAATAAGCAAAATAAATAATATTTTATTTAGAGGCCATTTTGTACCAGTAACCGTTTTTTTTTTTTAAAGGGGCATATTTTGTCAGTGGACAATTTTTGTGTAATTATTATGTAAAATAGGGGATTATTTTTTACTCCTTGTTACTTGTTGCAGTAATCCCAAAAAGCAGCTCCTTAAAAGCTATACCGGGATGTCAATCATGTCACGTGCCAATAACTATAACAATCATGGATTAATAGTAATACTATATATAATATATATAATAATAACTGATTATATTGATAATAACAACTTATTATAATTATTAATAACAATAATAATGATAATAATAATAATAATAATAAGGATGATAACAGTAATGATAACAGTGGATTTAAGTTTAGCACTTGCGTCTGTCAAACTTGACACTTGTGGCACTCCACACTTACACCCATAACTTCACGGTCACGGTGGTACCATCAAGTTGCAAAGATTGTAATAATCATTCTTTCATTCCTCAGGACGTTACCACCATCAGACTACCCTCAACAGTATGTTGGTAATACATCAGATACATCAGATACTGTATGTCAATTGTCTCAGACATATGCAGAAGGTAGCAGCGGTCTGAGCAGGCCTTGTAAGAGGCAAGCTCCTTCTACTCAGTCAAGAGTTCCGCAGGATGATCCTGAAATTCCAGTGAAGCAATCAAAGTATGAAGTCTAGTTGCTCTGGTATCGGTAGAGTAAGACAATAGGGACTTTTAGATTCGCACAAAGACAATGGGGATTGCTACGATCGACGTCCTTTTAATGCACTGCCATGAATAGACGTCACACGTTTCAGTCCACGCAAATCTAAAAGTCCCTAATGTCCCACTGGTAACACTACATCTTGACTTTGTGTATGCCTGATACAGGGCTCCACACTGACTTTTTTTTTATGGTCCAGATTTAACTTTTTACAGTCAGTATGCATGAGCCCTGAGTTACAACTTCCAAATTTAACGGTCCAGACTTAGATTGTGGGTGTCTATGTGTTCTGGCTAGCCTGTTGGCTTCAAGCCCTGTACTGATTTTGGTGTAAAAGGGGGTATTTTTTGGCAATGTTTGCAAATGTTTAGATATTTGTAAAAAGGCTGTTTTCTTCTTTTTCACCTTGATGAGTACAGTCCACTATCTGGTGTTAGTTTAGAAATTGCATGAGAAAGGGATCATAATATTGTCACAATGTTCGAAACATGTGAAAGGCCTATGTAGAAAGTGTTATAGGATCAGTTTGTGAGTGTGTATTCAATAAGCCCAAAACAGAGTAGTGTTAAGAGCACATTGTGTACCTGTTTTATGCAGAGAGGGATCACACAATTTGTTATGAACAAGGAAAATTTAATTTTTTCTCTCTTTTTAAAAGTTTATTATTATGTTATTTATAGGGAGGGATTTCTCTTGTAATGGCACAGTTATTTAAGTTATCAACATTTTCAAAGGTGATCCCCAAATTTCTAATGAGAGTTAGAAAAAGGGGTAATAAGGGTATGTTTTTTTGCGAAAGAGCAAGAAAGTTTACAAACAATGTGCCCCCCCCCCCATAATGTTAGCAAACACGTGAATGAGTGTGTACATGTGTTCATACGTAGGCTAATTTGTGTGAGTTCTAGGAAAACCACCCCCCCCCCACCCTTCCTGAGGACGATTACCCTCGAAAATTACCCCCTTGGATTATCACCTCTGAAAATATATTCTGTTTTTATTAAAACCAACTTATTATCATCAGGGTACACTTCCCCTTTAATGAACAGGGGGTGGGGTGTAATTGGCCTCTCATGGTTGTCCTTGGTTGTCCTAGGGGTATTTTCAGGGTTGGGGGTGGTTGTCCTTGGGGGGGGGGGGGGTAGTTTTCCGGGGGTAATTGTCGAAGGGGTAATTGTCCTAATCCCCCCCCCCCCCATGATGTTAGCAAACATGTGAATTAGAATTAGTGCTGTAAGTCAGACGCTATGTTCGTGTTCGGTTCGGTTCGGCAGAGTTCGGCAATTTTTCACCCGAACTTGGTTCGGTTCGGGGTTCGGTAATATAATAGCAAGCAGCGTTATAGCCACGGCGGTCGGCACTGGGCGGGCCAGCCGGCCTGCCGGGCCCGACCAGCACGGAGGACTTCTGCACACTGCTTCCGACCAGCACGAATTTCACATTGAAAAACTGCTCTAAACGTAATTATTTGTGAAGAAAAATACTACTTACATTCGTATTTCCGTCTTGAATCGTGTTTTATTTTCAATTTTAAAAGAATCATGTTTTCAATTTGTCAATAAATGATATTTTTAAAAGATTTTCCGAGACGGTTGTTGTCTAATGTTAGAGTCATGAAAGCTGCCATCTTGAATAGAGACTCAGCCAGGCTCGTCAATAACTGTTTTTTAGAAGTTTTTATTTTCAATAGGAAAAATATAAAATCCCTATTTTTCCTAAATAAATAAATACCATACTATAATATATATTTATTTCATTATTTATATTGTAAAATTTGTCCAATATTAATTGTTACAATTAAAATATTAATTTTTTGTTGAATGGGTTTGAGCTGAACTTGTTTTGATCACGCACATGTATTCTTGTTTATGGCTTGCGATCGCGACGTAGCGTGGTCAGGATTTGGGATTTAAATGGCGCCAGTGAAGTCGCGCCCACCACTGGATAGGCATAAATCACAAAGGCGGAAAATGGAAAAAAAGTAAATATAAAATGAGCAATCATGACATGAAAATTAGGTACAAAATGACAAGTTTATTAGCTTGCAAAAACGTTTTTTTATTTTTCTGCCGAACATCCGAACCAGGCCTTTGCGTTCGGTTCGGTTCGGTTCGGTTCGGAAGTGCCATGTTCGGCGAACTTCCGTTCGGTTCGGCGGTTCGGCTACAGCACTAATTAGAATGTACCTGTGTTCGTGAAAGTAGGCTACATTGTGTGACTGTGTGCTCGATAAGCAAAAAATTGAGGCCTTGTTGTACCCATTTCTTTTTTTTTAAAGGGGGCATAATTTGTAGAATTTTTTTTGTGTAACTTTATGGTAATATGTGTTATTGTTTACTCCACTATAACAATCATGGATTAATAATAATAATAATGATAATGATAATAATAATAGTAATAATATTATTGATAATAACTGATGATAATGATAATAGTAATAGTGATATCTGATGATATTGATGATAAATTATGATCATGATATTAATAATAATAATAATGCTAAAGAAAATAATGATAACAGTTGATTTTAAAGTAGCACTCATGTCTGTCAAATTTGACACTCAAGGCACTCCACACTTACACCCATAAATATAAAGGGACATCATCAGGTTACAAAGATTGTATTAATCCTTCTTTCATTTCTCAGGATGGCTCTGGAATCAGATGAAATACTTGACACACTCTCGAAAAATGTGCCCCATACGACTTACACAACGCTATGCAGACATCTTGGCATCGGATTCGCCCAAGCTAACAGCATCCTAGCCAAGTACATCATGGACTACCAGAGAGCTACGAGGGAATGCTTGGCACAGTGGAAGACAAGGACTGGTGGTAATATGGCCCAGCTTAAGACCATCCTTGTGGATGCAGAAGTTGGAGATTTAGTGAAGTATATAGAGTAATCATGCGAAGCTTCCGACTGGGGCAATATGAACTCTTAAACGTGACACTGTGTTTAGGCTTTTATTCAAAATCGCAGGTTTAACAAAGGAACCGTGAAATGACACCTGGCTGAAATTCTCCCCAGAGAGTGGAGAAGGTGAAAACATTGTGTGCAGGCAAGCCTGAAATTGATGACCAGAGTAATGACATTTCTGTAAAGCACTTACAGACATCATAGATGTTTCAATCAGTTTATAAATCTAGAACATTATTAGTAGTATTATTGAACAAAGTCTGAGGTCTAAATAGTAAAGTAAACGTTTGTTCGATTGGACTGAAAAACAATTCTTTTCTTTTCAATTCAATATTTTTTTTACCACTGTGACGAGCAGCTGGTCAACCAGTTGTGTTACTCAATATCCCAAGCTGTAACCCCGATAATTAGCAGTTCAGGAAAAAAAAACTATGAAGGATGACTTACTGAAGTATTTTATTTTTGTCTCACTCATAATAATAAGTTGCAAAAATGAACAGAAAGCCAGAATCAGAAATTTGAGATCTTGGCTCTGATCTGGGTCATGAAGCTTGTTATCAATTACAAGTTGCAATAACTGTTATAAGCTCCTGAAATGGTTGCATTTGATTGGCTGAGAGCCAATTTGTCATAGAAATGTGACACTTGTTATTGGTAGGAAGTTTTATGAAACAGGACCGAGAGTTTCTTTGAGCCAGTTTATCTGGAAATGAAATTCCATTACAAGGGCCCTCTTGCTTCAACAGTTGCAATGTCAAACCCGACATTACTCAAAAAGTAAACACAATTAATAAATACGCGATCCCAATTGGTTGAAAATATAATTTTAATTTCAATTTTTTTTTTTATGAAAGAGTCTCCAGAATGCAATATTGACAATGAGGTTGTTTTGTGAGATTGTAATTTTATTAAGTATTAACAGTATTATGTTGTACTTAACTTATGCATTTTGGTCAGGTTCACACAAGTTGCGTATACACAGTTGGCCCCGAAAGTTTACATGCACCTGGAAGAAACTCATTTTACTCATATTTTCTCTAGTGCACCCATTCCTATCGGGAGTCACTCGTCTCAGAGTGATTAGTGATGTATATACTAAACGGAGACCATATTTGTTGTATCTTCCTGAAGTGAAATTTGGCAGGAATGACTGAAACTGTGATAATGTATATCTGGCCCAACTGTACATGTTTGTATATGTACAATTCAGGGATTATTCCAGTACTTGATTTTTTTTGTCTTTGTCTTCTTCTATTTTTAACTACCAAGTTTTGTGTGCCTTATGATTTTGTATACCGGTATACTATAAATAGAGACAAAATTGTCGTATCTTCCTGAAGTAAAAAGTTGGCAGGAATGAGCGAAACTGTGATAATGCATATCTGGTCCAACTACATGTATGTATATCTACAATTCAGGGATTATTCCAGTACTATTTCATGTTTTTGTTTTTTCTTTGTCTTCTTCCATTTTTAACTATCGGTAGATGTGTACCAAGTTTGCGTGCCTTATGCTATGTATAAACTATAAACAGAGAAAGAATTTGTCTATCTTTCTGAAGTGAAAAGTTGGCAGGAATGAGTGAAGTTGTGATAATGTATAGCTGGACCAACTACATGTATGTACATACCACAATTCAAGGATTATTCCAATACTTAATAGCATTGTTGTATTTTATCAGGACTCTGAGTAGATATGTACCAAGTTTTGTATGCCTTATGCTGAAGGCCTGCCTGTATGAACAAAGTGGTCATGTGATTTGATATTAGCCTTGATGCCAAGAGCTACTTGTATAGGAGGGAAATATGCATTGAAATCCTGAACTCTGTGACATGTTGAATTTGCAAAAATCACAATTTTTCAATACAAACTGGCATACCAGTGTGTGTTTACTGTACGCCATACCTCTCATCAGTGTATAAATCAATATTCTTTGAAGATACATGATTTTAATGAGAACAATGTAGCAATAAAAGAATGTTTCCAATTTCAAGAAGAAAATCTGATCACTGTAGTCCAAATCATATGACCATCATATGACCTTATGGTTTGTAAGTGTACAGCCTTGTATTTATGATATGCAAAGGATTCCAAATTAACTAAAATTGAAATGTTATTACATCTGAAATATGTTCATAACAAACATTTTGTGCATACCATGTTTATGTGTACAGAGTATATGTCAAAGATTAAATTGTTTGTTGTATTTCTTATTCCAAGTCTGAATTTATGAATTATTCGTAAGGTTTTAATCCAGAGAGGGAGGCAGGGAGGGAAGGGAGAGAGATAAGGGTGCATGTGAGTGGCGATGGAGGGAGGAAATGGAGAAGAAACAGAGGGAGAGAGAGATGAGGGTGCATGGGAGTGGGGGAAAGACAGTGAGCAAGAGAATATAAAGGAGAGATTTAGATCATAATTAGGGATGTATAGATGGCCAATATGTATCAGTAAGAGGGAGGAAGGAGAGAAAGGAGATCAAAATCTTGGAGTGTATGAGAGGGTGGGGGGGGGGGGGTGTTAGGGGAAGAGAAGTGAGAAATAGAGCAAGCAAACGAGAGAAAGGAGAGATTTAGAATGTATGATAGAGATTTGGGGGAGGGGTACATGCAGTGGTATAGTGAAGTGGAAGATATGGCACGGAAAAGAGCGGGTATTTTTTTAAGAAAAGTGAAAAACAAATTCCAACTAGACTTTAATTCGTCACTTAGACGAATTAGGTGATACGTATGATATTGGTTTACATAACGAAGAATGCATTTAATACACGATATCATATTATTTTATAAAATACTTTTCCCATTATGATCTATCCATATGTCAAGTTTAAATTGTGACGATCCCTTGATCATTATGGATCTAGGGAAGATAGATTGTAACAACATATGACCATTGACTCTATGCAGTAACCCGTTACACCTTTGACTCTAATTTACATCATGAAGAACACCTTTTGACGATTTTATCTTATTCAAAGAAACGAAAATGTAATTGATAAATGATTATCATCATTATGATAATGATGACCATGATGATGATGAAGATGATCATGACCATGAGCGTGATCCTGATATCTTTTTGAAAAAATGAGGGTTGATTTAGATAGCATATAGTCTCAGCTACAACATACTTAAAAATCACCAAAATCCAAGCAGAATTAATGGCGATATTGCTAGCAAAAGACAGGAATGTAGACTCCAGATTTGAGAAAAAGTCATCTCCCATAGGGATTACACGCAAACAGTAATGGATTAAGTGAAAATAGGGTAATAAAAAGGTAAAAAGGGTTATTTATGACATTATTTGCGATTCTACGTGTTTAAATAATCAAAGGAGATGGTACAGTGAAGGTCAAAAGGAAAAAAAAGTGAAGCAAAAAATAGTTGGAGACACCCGGACTCGAACCAGGGATCTCGAGGTTGGAAGTCAAGTGCGTTACCGATATACCAAAACATCTCCCATAGCGATTACACGTAAACGGGAAATGGAATTCTGAAGTCCTACTTTGCAAGTGAAATATGAGCATGATCCCGGCATAGGATCGAAAAATGAAGTACACATTTCGGATAGCTCATTGTCTCAGCTACAACATACCCGAAGCTCACTGAACACAAAGTTAACAAAACGGAGATGTTGCTCGCGAAAGACGGAAATGTAGAATGCAGTTTTGAGAAATAGTCATGTCCCATAGACAATACACGCAAAATGTGAAAAATTGACATTCCTCCTTAAATCGCAAAAATATGCCACGATACCTTTGTCAAACTGGAAAATTGTTGATACTGCATTTGTAGGAAATCATCTCAGCTAGAACATATCAAAATTTGGAAGAAAAACAATCAATATTTACAGAGATATAATCAATTTTCCAAAAATATGCAAACGTCATAATATGCAAAATTAAAATTTTGAGTTTGAAGGCCATTATGATAACATTATGACTTAATTGAGGGTCAAATGAGACATTAAATCATATCTTCATTCCAAAATCTATCCAAATTTGAGAAAATATTAGGATTTTCTATCTATTCTTAAAAGTTACAATGAATTTTATATAGGCATGTTTTTGCCCATGTATTGTGGATAAAGATAACGCAAATCCGCGCGTGCTGTCAACTTTGACGGACGCTCATTGCGTTAATAAAAGGTGAACGAATTATCAAAATGCTTGGAAATCTGTGCCAAATATGATGACAGAGAAAATTCGGCGATTCTATGTTGCAAAATGCCAGTACGCGCGGAAACGCGCACGCATGCGCGTGTGTGCGATTTTTTTGCGAAATGCTTTAAATGGCCTGAAACGTATGCAAAAAAAATTTAAGATGATTTAGAGCATTTTAATTTTTTGCGCGCGCATTAACACGCGCACGAACGGGTACGCGCGCGTTTACGCACGTTTTTTGACCTAAAATTGACCGGACGGATATTGATCTTAATCATGATAAATATGAATGAAAAATTACTATCCGTTATGAAGATATGATCATTAGTTGATTTTCACAAAATGGCGCCTGGATGACGTCACGATGACTTTGAGTCTTTGAAAAGTCACGCAGTTCTAAGTTAGACTAAGATCTATCATCATTGAAAGATTCATAACAATGCCTTCCTTCAGTCTTGAGATATCCTGCGAACAAATTCGAGGAAGAATAATAAATAAAAAAAATAAATAAAAATCTTGACGAAATCAATAGGTGATACGTAGACTTCGTTACGTATCACCTAATAAATAAATAAAGAAAGAAAATTCTGACGAAAACAATAGGTGATCTGTCGTTGACAGACCACCTAATAATAATAAAGAAAAATCTTGACGAAATCAAAAGGTGATACGTAGACTTCGTTACGTATCACCTAAAAAAAAGAAAATCTTGACGAAATCAAAAGGTGATACGTTGACTTCGTTACGTATCACCTAATGATTCCTTCAAAATTTGCAATTTCAACTTTCGATCGAAAATTTTAACATGATCCCAACATCTGATTAAAAAACAAAGTACACCGTTTTTATAGCCCATGGTCTCAGCTATAACATACCCCAATTTGGGAGAAAACAGAGCACACATAAGATAGATAGTGCTCATAGATGAATGCCATGTAGATTCATGATGTGAACGAAATTCACCTTCCATAGACATAACACGCAAATGACGAAAATTCTGACATGTGGCCTTTAATTGAATTTTGTACTATGATGACCTCATTAAAATGAAACTTAGTGAAAAGTGATCGTGTAGAGAATTGCCTTATCTACAACATATCGACATTTCAAAGAGAATCGATGAATATTGAGAGAAATACACTACATTTTCCATAAATACAATGACGTCATAATATGCAATTTTGTATTTTTGACTTCCAAGGCCATTATGATGACGTTAAGATGTACTTAATGGCCAAATGAGATATGAAATCATACCTCCGACTCATACTCTATCTAAATATGAAAAAAAAATTGGCAATCCCTATTCATCCCAAAGGACTTTTTATAGGCATGTTTTTGCCCATATATGCAATGTATTACAAAAATCGCGCGTACGGACGGTTATCTTGAACGGACGCTCATTCCGTTTTTAATAGTGATAAAGAGCTAAACATGGTATCAAATTTTCCGGAAAAATATGAGGAATATTCGGTCAAAAGCTTTTGCGGAGAAATTATTTTTCGTTCGGCCGTGACGAACGAAAACGTCCAAAAAATGCGTGTTTTGCGTGATTTTTTATAAAATGCTTATAATGGCCTGAAACGTATGCCAAAAAAATTTAAGACGATTTTGAGCAATTTAAAATTTTACGCGCGCATTAACGCGCGCGCCTACGCGTACGCGCATTTTTGCGCGCATTTATTGACCTCAAATTGACCCGACGGATATTGATCTTATTCATGATAAATATGAATGAAAAATAACTTTCCGTTATGAAGATATGATCACTAGTTGATTTTCACAAAATGGCGCCTGGATGACGTCACGATAACTTTGAGTCTTTGAAAAGTCACGCAGTTCTAAGTTAGACTAACATCTATCATCATTGAAAGATTCATGACAATGGCTTTATTCAGTCTTGAGATATCCTGCGAACAAATTCGAGGAAGAATAATAATAAAAAAAAAAAAAAAGAAAATCTTGACGAAATCAAAAGGTGATACGTTGACTTCGTTACGTATCACCTAATGATTCCTTCAAAATTTGCAATTTCAACTTTCGATCGAAAATTTTAACATGATCCCAACATCTGATTAAAAAACAAAGTACACCGTTTTTATAGCCCATGGTCTCAGCTATAACATACCCCAATTTGGGAGAAAACAGAGCACACATAAGATAGATAGTGCTCATAGATGAATGCCATGTAGATTCATGATGTGAACGAAATTCACCTTCCATAGACATAACACGCAAATGACGAAAATTCTGACATGTGGCCTTTAATTGAATTTTGTACTATGATGACCTCATTAAAATGAAACTTAGTGAAAAGTGATCGTGTAGAGAATTGCCTTATCTACAACATATCGACATTTCAAAGAGAATCGATGAATATTGAGAGAAATACACTACATTTTCCATAAATACAATGACGTCATAATATGCAATTTTGTATTTTTGACTTCCAAGGCCATTATGATGACGTTAAGATGTACTTAATGGCCAAATGAGATATGAAATCATACCTCCGACTCATACTCTATCTAAATATGAAAAAAAAATTGGCAATCCCTATTCATCCCAAAGGACTTTTTATAGGCATGTTTTTGCCCATATATGCAATGTATTACAAAAATCGCGCGTACGGACGGTTATCTTGAACGGACGCTCATTCCGTTTTTAATAGTGATAAAGAGCTAAACATGGTATCAAATTTTCCGGAAAAATATGAGGAATATTCGGTCAAAAGCTTTTGCGGAGAAATTATTTTTCGTTCGGCCGTGACGAACGAAAACGTCCAAAAAATGCGTGTTTTGCGTGATTTTTTATAAAATGCTTATAATGGCCTGAAACGTATGCCAAAAAAATTTAAGACGATTTTGAGCAATTTAAAATTTTACGCGCGCATTAACGCGCGCGCCTACGCGTACGCGCATTTTTGCGCGCATTTATTGACCTCAAATTGACCCGACGGATATTGATCTTATTCATGATAAATATGAATGAAAAATAACTTTCCGTTATGAAGATATGATCACTAGTTGATTTTCACAAAATGGCGCCTGGATG